CATATCCGAGTTTCTACAATATCAGCTCATTGTTGACTTTCTTTTTTGTTGTCTAAAATTAGAAAATGGCATTATAGAAATCGATTATCATTTATTGATTCATACTCGTAGAAAAAATTTTACGATTAAAGTAGTTGTCATGTAAGTATAATGATGATGTTTTGTACTACACTAAAGATTGATATATGAATTGATATACATAGATAGTCGAACAGTGACCTCTGCAGCAATGTTCAATTGCTTGTAGACAGAATTTAACAAAACTACTTCAACTTGAAGAAGTTTTATAAATTGACAAGTGATTGTGAAATTAAATAATAATCGATCTCAAGGTTTAATTTGATATTCAACTGTTAAAACATGAAGCTTTATTTACTTGCATCTGTTTCTGCGGAGATCACATTTTGTTTGACTTGACACAATTTTTGTAACACTAACTCAAATATTAGTATACTTCAATACTTGTTTTAGATCCTGTTGCATAATATATATAAATCAGAAGATTATCGTTACTTATCCGATTTTACCTATAAAATTCTATTTCACAATTTTTTTTTCTTTTTGATTACAAAATTGATTCGTATCTCGTTTCTGTTTGATTGAATATGAACCTAAATTGCAAATTTGAAATTCATGATAAAATGCATAAAACTGCACTAATATGATTCGAACCATACTAAAAACGTCGGCAGATCGTTCAATATAATGTGTACTATATCCGCAATCAATCAACATTCATTTAATACTTGAAAGGTTGGCTATCCTCTGGCTACAATTCTATCGCAGTATACCGATAGTTGCTCCTGAACCGGCAATCTGCTACTTTTTTTGGTTGAATCGTTTCAATTGCTTTCTAAGCATGATAGATTCCAGAGTACGACTTTGAGTAAAAAGTAATACAATAGTCTATCAAGACATTCAAGTTGTATATACTAATTACTTCATATTGAAATCCTTGATTGAATCCTTTTAATGAATAGTTTTTCTGACCTAGATAATTCCATGTCTTTTCGTTCGTCCTGCTTAGTCTGTTGTCAATATCATGCTTTTAGAATCGGAAAAGAAACAATCTACAGATTTACTCGCTGGCCTCTATTAGTAGTATTGAATATCTTTCAAATCGATTTACACTTTCAGCATACATATCTTAAGATTGTTCAAGTAGTAATGAGTTCTTGTAACATAAGAGCAATCTCTTGAATTTTATAGACTCATAGTTTCAGTATACTGCTATCAAACTACTGCTTGTTTTCATTCGTTTTTCATCTTTGAAACATAAACATGATTAAAAATGCGAATCATTGATAATAAAATTGCATGAATACAATAAATAATAATAAATGTAGATAGGAACACATCAATTCATATAATATTATCTAACAATTTTTTTCAAGAATAGTGAGCTTGTCTATATTTTGATTATTTCTCTCTTAGTATTCGTTGATTGAGATTGCGTTTTATAGTATAATTGTTTTATTCATGTGAATAATATCTATGATTGTAACGGTCACGATTGAAATGTACATTCAAAAATAACAACTTTTTTTCAATTCGCCTGGGTGTATGTTTCAAGTGTTTAATTAAAGTTGTATGTATATGTTGATAAATTGTAATTTTGATTATTGATGAATACAGTTTTTTTCACTATGCAGTTGAAATTTCTTAGATAAATAAAAAAAATAAAATAAAAAAAGGATGATATTTTTCTTTTAAAGAACATCTATTAAAAATCAATAAACATAATATTTTGAAATAATTGTCTATAATAGCTTGTCATTTACAATGTTCTAGTGAGTTACTGAAATTTAACCAAGAAATAAAATGTACCAAAAGTGTAAATATTGAGACTTGATGCTATCATATTTTGTCCTCAGATTTTCGTTGCGCACAATATTTCAATTCATTTAATTCATTTATTATTACCATGCATTCTAAGTACAAATGATGTCGTTTTCGAAGAGTACTCAACCATTTCATGCAGGTTTTTTTTCTGTATCTTGGTTTCTTGATAGCAACTATTGATTATAAACTTCGCCCTTTGACTTAATTCCTCTTACAAAGTTTCACATTATATAAATTCGTTGATTTTTGCAAGAAAATCACAATCAGTTTCTCATCGATACAACAGAGGTAGGTGATTCTTCATATACATATATTTGAACAAATATCATTTTTTTCGATATTTTATTAGAGCATTCAAAGTTTCACTTCATTTCGATAACTAATAAAATACTTATCAATAAACATAGTGAGTTTATTATCTTTTTATATGTATTCTTATTTGTAACTTTTTTTTTATCTAGGTCTTTCAATCTCCTTACTATTCGTCATATGCAGCACCAACATCAAGCTGCTCAGGTTGTACATTTTCTCAATCATCAATGGTTTCTCAACCAACGTTTTATCCATCAATGGGTTATTATCGAAGTACTTATTAATCAATGTTCAATGGGTTTTTTATTGCTCCGTCTAACATATTACATTATTACAAAAATTTCAAATGAGTATTATTCACGAATGTGACTAAAATTGTTTTTGTTTATTTTTTTCAAATAAAAATTTGAAAAAAAATTTAAACATTATCTTTCATTTATGCATCATTGCTTTGAATATATTTTATCTCAAATCAACATGAAGATGAAACGATATCTTATGTATAACAATAATTACACATTTTCTAGCTTATTTTGTTGGTAAGAGCAGTCTCTTGTCTTTTATCACTATCTCTTTGAGGTTTATTCCCTTTTTATATTACTTGAAAAAGTGATTCATAGTGAAAGAATGAAAAAAAAATAGGCTCGTGCTTATTTATCAATATCACTGCAATCAACCATAAAGAAAATTATCTTTGTTATGCAATCTGTTGATTACCTGCGGTCAATCACCTGTCTTTTACCTGATTTGTTTTTATATTGATTCAGATGGTAATCTTAGTATTATGATGGAACTTGCTATCAAATGTGGATAATGAATGAAAATAAAACATATTCTGAAATAATTATTTCTTTTACATGCTATATTCTTGTGTGCTTTCAATCGAATTTCTTTCAATAAATAAAATAAATCTTTTTAGAAATTAATTAGAGAGAAACGGGAGAGAACGAATTCGATATTTTCTGATCATAACACATGAATTTTCGATCAATAGTGAAATTAGTTATTGATCCGATTGAAGAAAGGAATCTAAGAAAATTCTTAATAATCGATCATTATTCTAGATAGAAAATATTGTCTATTCTGTTTTTTTTTCATTTGACTTGACGTCAATAACGAAGCAATATACGTACATGCGTTTGTTTTTTGTTGATAATTTATTTCAAATTTCAAAAATATCTTCATTTTATGAATTAAAACAATATATGTTAACTACTAAGAATCTTATTTCCATAAGTCAATTGACTAATTGTTCATTAATAATTTAATCTTATATTGATTTTCTATACCTCTCGTAATTGAATATTTTGTACGTAAATAAATTGGAATCATAAGACAAGTTCATGATTTTCATGCTGTCTGTTTTCATTTTCAATTCAAAATGTTAATGATTGAAGATTAGACATTAGTTCGATTTTCAACTTCAATCAAAAGACTTTCACATCGAAGTTCAAGCAATGAACTGCCTAGTGCATCACAATTTATATTATCAAAAAATTGAGTGAAAATTTGCTTTCTAGGTAAAAAAATTTCAATCGAGGAATCGAATTAGTTTTCAATTTTAAAAATCTACTTGTACCGAACAATCGATTGAATAGTCACTGAATATAGATTAGGTGCTCGATCGAACAATGATTGTTATTGAGAATAAACAATATCTTGATCTTCCATAAATACAACATCAAGTGACCTCAAATAATAGAATGTATCATCAGGAAATGTAATTATGTTGAAGGTTATGGACTCGATCATAGGACCAATAGAATGTAATGACTAGGAACGGTTGATTTGGAACACAATTGTTGAGAATAATGATAAGTTTTGAAAGCATAAGGTAAAATATAAAGTAAGTTTTTTAATGTATGTTTAGAACCGACATAATCAAGTTTTAATGAGATCATTGATATGAGCATGTTCATAATTCGAAAATGGTTCTCATGATGAATAAAAATATTTATATAAAGATGTCCAAGACGTGATGTAAACTTAATCAAATGGCATAAATCATAAGGACTCTGTGGTGATATTTGAATAGAAATAGGTTCAATTGATGATGAAATAAATGAAATTTTCGACAATCAAATCAACAAAGTTAATATCATCAAGCGAAAGACACTGTAAATGATGACATTGATTAAGGATGAAATCATATGATATATAATGAAATAACTTGATCGATGATTTTTACAAAATACTTTTGACAAAACATATCAAAAGCGTATGTATGTTATTAAATTATCAAAACGAGCATTGAGTACAGAAAAAGCAATGAACACCATTCAAATATTCAAATAAATTTAATAATATCTCATTGGCTAACTGTTCTAAATTCATTAAAATAATTCTCTATCATTCTTCAAATATACATGTATATATTTGATAGATATTCCAAAATTTCATGTGCTTTTTCTATTATAATAATGATATCATACAGAAATAGGCGTTGTTATTATGAAATACGATCTAAAGGAAATGTTGAAATATAAGGAAAACAAATTGGAGTCCTCCTCAATCCTTATGATATTTCTGAACAATTTAGTCAGAGGATAATGAAGAAATGTATCCTAAAATGGATAGAATAAAATGATCTCTCTGTGATTACAATCATTTATAAAAAAAACGGATACGGTAGTTTTCTGGTTCTAGAAGACATTGTCGAGGCTACTCTTTTTAGTAACGTCATTTCAAAGAGTTCGAGGAATTCATATACGAATCGCTAATGATATTTTTAACTATTAAAGAGAAACTTGTAGAAAATGCGACGGCTCCTCATGTTGCACTCTTTAAAATGGCGTTGTTAATAATAGTTTTAATAATATTTTCTAGGACCCGAAAACCATCGTATTCGATTGTTTTTGGAAACTTTGCCATCATAGTTCAAGTGTTTACATTCTCGAAATGATATCAAATTAGAAAATATATTTAGTAAATTCATAAAATCATTGATGCCGGTAATAAATCGGATTTTACACCACGTATAATTACTATAATATCATTTTCTAATAATAACTAGATAGTTTTTGTTTATGAAAATATTCAATCGAAAACAAATCCCTGAAATGTTTTTTTTACAAAAAAAAAACCAACAAAATTTTCACTTGTTCATTCAATTCGAATAAAACATAAAATAATAGCTGAAATAGAAGTTCCAACTTCATGTGTAATGAATCTAAAGGCGGATCTCAGGCGAGAATTTTAAGATTATAAAAGGAGTGTATAAGAAAATATCTCACAAAGATTTTCGTTGGATATGATAAGAATCTACTACAATTTGAATTCAAGATATTTATTTAATATATTAATTTCAATTTAAACAGAAAATTAGGATAATTTAATAAATAGAAGTCTCGATTTACAAAACAAAATAAAATAATATACATAAACTCTGAAGTTCAATTTAGAAATATCATTTGATTTTTGTTTAAAGTTTACGAGAACACTGATTTAATGTGCTTTGAATAGCATCAAATATTTTTTTGTGAAGCAAATTATTTTATATGCTAATGTGTTCTTCCTAATTTTATTATGGTTTTTTTTTCAAGTGATATCTAACCGAATTGATATAATAAAAAGATAAAAAAATGAAGTAGTTACTTATTTATAATTATATACGAAGTAAGAATAGTATTTTCATGAAGAATATAAAGCTAATGATAAACAAATGAATTTTTTTATATATTAAAAAAAAAACAGAAATAGATTGACTTGATGAACATTTCAATGATATATTACATTTATTCTAAATAATGTTATTAGAAGAAAAACTCTTTAACAAAAATGTCCGACAACAAAATATCTTTTGTATTATTGACATTTTATCGTCAATTAACATGAATTTTATTTATCTATGACGTTCATGAAATCGTGATCTTTCGGAACAACTATAATTTACTTTATTCAGATTTCATCAAATAAACATAATATATCATTGTGTACAAAACACGTATCGTTCGGTTTAATTATAGACATCATTGTCAATAGAGTTGTACTCTTCGATCTATTCAACTATTAAAAAAAATAGAGAAATTTGTTCTTCTTCTTCTTCTTCTTCTCCATTTGTCTATAATCAACAACACAAGTATGTCACTACACAATGACAAAATGTGTATTAAAGACACACGAGTTATAAATAGGATTTGATTCTATTTAAAAAAAAGAAATCTGACTTGTTTTCTTATTTGCTATTCTTTCTAGAAATGTAGTTATACGCAAATTAGATTCTACTATTTTCTATAAATAATTGAACGCCTAGGTTTCATTATACAAAACAATTTGATTTTATTTAATAGACTTTCAGCTAAAGATAAACTATAGGTTAATGAATATTTTTAATATAATAAATAATTGAAATATTAAGCTGAGTTTAGAACTAATTTTATTTCTTAATAGAAAATAAATGTACTCAATAACCTTTTATATAAACGAACTATAATTTTAATTACACTATCGTTTATTTTTTGCTTCCAATGATTTTCTATGACGAAGAAAAAAAAAGACTTGTTATATCTTCACCTTTTATTAGTAATATGCATTGACAATTCTTGATGACGACACACAAAAAATGTATGTGTTAAAACTGAAGAACAAACATAAGCAAATACACTTGTTTTTCTTTCTTGAGGAGAGAATAGAAAAAAAAACGTGACACTACACGTGATAGAAGAAAGAGAATCAACGAGTATTTCTTTGTTTTTTTTCTTCTTTTAATTCAGTGAACAGAAAACGAGTAATGCCAGCAAAAAAAAGTCAAAATATTACTTCAATACCACATATTAACATTTTACTACTAATTGTTGGTACACGAGGTGATGTTCAACCATTCATTGCGTAAGTTATCATATTTAAAAAAATAATCAACCTTTAATAAAATATTTTTTGGTGTACTTTTTTTTAAGTCTCGGTCAGATACTTTTAGCAGCTGGTCATCGTGTTCGTTTAGCTACACATGAAACATTTCGTAAATTTGTTCGTCGAAATGGTCTAGAATTTTTTCCATTAGCTGGTGATCCAGCTGAATTAATGTCATTTATGGTTAAAAATTCCGGTATTATTCCATCCATCAGTAGTATAGCTGCAGGTGATCTAACAAAAAGTCGTGATATTATAACTGATATTCTTGCTTCAACATGGCGTGCTTGTACTGTTGAAGATGATGAAACAGGACAATCATTTACAGCTGAAGCTATTATTGCTAATCCACCATCCTATGGTCATATACATTGTGCACAAAAATTACAAATTCCATTACATATTATGTTTACAATGCCATGGTCACCGACAACTGCTTTTCCACATCCACTAGTTAATGTTGATTATTCAAAAGCATCTATTGAAAAAGTTAATATGTTATCTTATAGTGCTATTGAAATGTTTGTAAGGATATGAAAGACATATTTGAAAAAAAAAAGATTCTTTTTTTATTTTGATTTAGACTTGGTCGAGTATGCGTGATATTGTGAATGAATTTCGTAATCAAATATTGGGCTTACCAGCATTACATTCACGTCAAGCAACCTATATAATGATTGATGAACGGGTACCTTATACATATTGTTGGTCACCTTCACTTGTACCTAAACCAAATGATTGGGCATCACATATAAATGTTTCAGGATTTTTCTTTCTTGATCATGATGTTACTGCTGATACAAAACAACCTGATGATCTAATTAAATTTCTTGGCCTTAATAATAATCATCATCATCATCATCATCGAAATGAATCATCATCACCAATAATCTATATTGGTTTTGGTTCAATTACAGGGCATGATTCTGATCGTATTCTTCAAGTTGTATTTGAAGCATTGAAGAAAACGGGTTATCGTGCTGTATTATGTGGTCTTGCTAAAGATGATGATAAATTACCAAAAAATGTCTTAAAAATTGGTAATGTTTCACATGATTGGCTTTTTCCACATGGTAAGTCCAATTATAAACGTATTGAATACATATTTTTTCAAAAAAAGAGTATCCGAAGTCATTGAGTAAACTTAAAATCCAGAATGTTCTTCTTTTTGGCAGAAAAATGTCCTTGAAGTAATGAAGGAAAGAAGAAGAAGAAGAAGAGCTGGTGTATTAACAAAAGACAAACTTGAAGAAAAAAAAGAGAACATCAAGTAGCTATCTATGTATATATAAAGATCGAGGAATAATCCTTATTATGTAACAGTATGTTTTTTGCTTTTTGTTTTTAAATATCTGAAAGCAAGAAAAATCGGGCCAAATGATAATTTAAATTCTATAGAGATTGTACTAATAAATTTCTTTTCTTAGTATCAGCTGTATGTCATCATGGTGGAGCAGGTACAACTGCTGCTGGTCTTCGTGCTGGTAAACCAACAATAATTATACCATTTTTTGGTGATCAATTCTTTTGGGGTAATGTTATTGAAAAGAATGGTGTTGGTCCTCGTGCATTACCAGGAAAAGATTTAACAGCTGATGATTTAGCTAAAGCATTTCAATTTGTTCATCAACCAGAAGTACGAGCTGCTGCTGAACGTATACGTGATGCTATATTAAAAGAAAATGGATGTGATGAAGCATTACATGCATTTCATAATCATTTACCATTATCACAAATGCAAAGTGATCTTGAATCAACTTATACAGCATGTTATCAATTAAAAGAATATCATTTACAAATATCACGACATGTTGCTCAAGTACTTGTCATATCAGGTCGTATTGAACCAACAGAGTTATATTTTCATTCAACACGATTTTGGCCTTCAATATTTGATAATCGTATTCATTTACCATTTCATGGTATTATTAAACATACACATAAAGCTATTGTAAAAATATTTTCTGATACAACAAGTGGTGTTAAACAAGCTATGCATGCTGATACATGGACAACAAGTACATATAATGTTATTGAAGGTGTTCTGCTAGGCTTAAGTAAAGGTATTGGTCATCTATGTATAGGTTGTTTATCTTTATATGGAGAATTAACTGATGTATTAGATGCTGCTCCATCATATTATGATCCATATAAGTATGTTTATTCATTTTAGTTTCATATGATAGAAAAATTTTATCGATTTATTTTTCAGTGATTCTTCTAATCGTTCACGACCATATGTATATGATTTTGATACGGGTATTCATGCAGCTATTTTAGCTGTTATTTTTGGTTGGAAAGATGGTATTACAGATTTTGTTAATACACCACGAATTGCTTATGAACGTCATGGAAAATTAGGTAGTGTAGCTGGAATATTAGTAGGTGTTGCAAATGGTTTATTAAAACCTGTTGTTGGAACTTTTTCATCTTTGACTTGGTTTTGTCGTGGTATTTATGCTAATATAAGTAATGAAGCATTATTAGATAAAGGACACGAAGCATGTCCTATTAAAACACTTGGTCTTGATTCATTAGTATCAACTATGAATAATGAAGAATCAAAACAACAATACACTAATGATACTAAACAAGTTATTAAAATTGCATCGACAATATCAGGTTTTTCACCTGATGTATGTCAACAAATTATAACAGAATTTGATAATATTAAAAAACACAATATTGATTATCGTTCATATAAGCATAAGTCACGATAAATAGATTATTACTTCTAATTTTGTACATCATGTTTTATACTCGCAACTACAACTCACATTTTCATATTATTATACTTTTTTTTCACAATGTTTTTCTTTTCGTTCATTAAAATAATATCTGATTTTTGTATAAAGTAAATTCGCAAGGATAAAAAAGAAAAAAAAACACGCTTATTGTTTTACAATGGATGTATTTTGCTATCCATATGCTTTAAATGGATATATTTATGTATTCATATTAAACAATATGTTATTGTTAGTTTTTTAATGAAATTTTTTGTATATATCTTATCATTTATACATCTGATGAATTAATCATACTCGAATATAAAAATCTTTTTTTATTTGTTGTATTTTATTAAGTCGTTCTTTGCCTAATTCAGATAAATTACAATTATCAATCCATAATTTTTTTAATGATTGATTATGTTTGATCATTTCAATAAGATAATCAATACTTATATCTGTTAATAATTTATTATTGGAAAGAACTAACATTTCAAGTGTATGATTTTGATACTGAATTGTTTGTGCTAATATTCGAATACCTTCATCACTTATTTCATTTTGTCCAAGATATAACCATATTAATGTTTGGTTAATTTTGAGCATTTCAGCAAGATATCTTACACCTTTATCAGTTATTCGATTTTTTTGAAGAACAAGTGTTTTTAGAGTATGATTATTCATTGAAAGTATATTAGCAAGAAAATAAATACCATCATCAGATATATAATTATTTCCAAGATACAATATTTCTAATGTATTATTATTATTATTATTATTATTTAATGCATCAGCTAAAATTGATATACCAATTGATGTAAATTTATTAAATTGTAAAGAGATAAAATTACATTGTTTTGTTATAATAGCTTGTTTGACAATGATCTCCATATCTTGATCGACTAAATCCATATTATCTAAACATATTGAGGAATAATTATAAGATTGTGCAATTTTTTGTTCAAGTTTGCTATTTTGATATTGTGAAAATTCTAAAACACAATGAAAAAATTAAAAATAAAAGCTTCTGACAATTTATTTTTTCATCTGTAAAGAGTCAAAAAGTGGCTTCTCCGAATTTCGCCAATTAACGAAATTTGTGAATTTCTAAAAAGTATGATGATATACGACAGCATACATTCAAATATGATTAATGTTTATCATGATTGTAACTTACGAGAGAACAGCCCGAAGTGATTCACCGCTTTTGAGCTCATATTTTAGGCATATAGAGGGAACCTCTAGACTAGAATAATCCTAAAATGATTCGGGTCCATAGGCCTCCGCTACAAAATTATAGCCATTTTACTTTAGTGTTAGGCTATGGCACGGTACGCACACACAAAGAGACTGACGATATTTCGGCTTGTAATTTTGTCCACAGATAAATCTACTTGTAGTTAGAATATCCTGAAAATTTCAGTTCAAAAGAATGTTTCCTTCACAAGATGTTGAATCATTCAACATCTTGTGAAGGAAACATTCTTTTGAGCTGAAATTTTCATAACTTTCTAACTACAAGTAGACCTGTCTGTGGACAAAATTTCAGGTCGGCATATCGGCAGTCTCTTTGTGTGTGCATACCGTGCCATAGCCTAAAACTAAAGTAAAATGGCTATAACTCGGTAGCGGAGGCCTATGAACCCGAATCCTTTTAGGAGTATTTTAGTCTAGAAGTCCCCTTTATATACCCAAAATATGAGTTCAAAAGCGATGAATCACTTGAAGCAGTTCCCTCGTTAGTCATAAGTTAACATGAGCATCTTACTTTTGAATCTGTCATCAAAGTCAATGGTCAATTTCAATTGAAAGAATAAACTATACATTTTATTTAGATTTCTCTCAACATCAAGTTAAAATATGATGACAAATGACGTTTTATACGATCTTAATACTTGTCCTAGATATGATATATAATTTTTAATCGATTCTTACCATTTACAAGTTGTTGCCGCATTTCTTTTATTGCAACAGAAAAATATTGTTGTTCGCATATGGATAAATGAGTCAAACTTTCATTCGTATATAACAATTGTAGTGTTGAAATATCATCTTCATTCAATTGACTATTGTAAAATTCAACATAAGTTAATGAATGACGTTCTTTAGAAGCATAAACAAGTGCTTCTATAAATTGATGAGAAATAATGGATTCCGAAATACGTAAATGAGAAATAAATGAATCATTTAATAATGTATTAATAAGACAAATTTCATTTTTATTTGATGGTTGAATATCGAAAATATGAAGACGAACATGTTTTATTGATTTATGTCTTCGTAATACATTTAGAAGTTCAATAGTAGCAGCTTTATCATCCATAGAAGTTTGATCTATAATATCAAGATCAATAAGAGTTTCATTTTGTCCTATTGCTTGACATAGACCATATAGAGTAGATGATAAATTAAAACAATAACTTAATTTTATTCGACTTGGTGAATAATTTGAAGTAATAATTTCATTTAAAAATTCAATATTCATAAAATGATTGATAATTAATGTTGTTAGTTCTTTATTCTTTTTGAGACTATGTAATAGATCATGATTGTATATGGAAAGATCATAACCAAAAAAATTAAATGTTCGACATATTTTATTTTGTTGTAAAAGTTGAATGAATATTTTTATGTCTTCATTTTGATGATTAGAAAATTGTACTGTCAATGATTGATTTTTAAAAGACACAGTCATATAATTACAAATATATTTAGACATTTTCATCCATTTACGAACTTCAACAGACATAATTATTAATCGTTGAATAGAAGAACGATTGATGATAACATCAAATAATTTGTCAAGATCCTTTATATTAAATGAACAGTTTTGAAGAACAAGAGTTAAAATTGTAAAACCTCTTGTTAAAGCATCACAAAATATTGTTATATTTTTTGTTGTTAAACTTCCTGTTAGAATAACTTCTTTTGTTTCTTGATTAAATTTTCCTCCAAAAGCTTCCAATTGACGAATATATTCTGACATTTTATTATTAAAACTCATAGTATGATAATGTTCTAAACATACCCAACGAACATGACCATCATTAGTAATTGTTCGATAAAGATTTCCTAAGCTATGTTTATTATCAATAAGTTCTAAGAAAGCTTCAAGTTCTCGAAGTTGTGCACCTTGAAGTGAAATTTCTGGTAATACTACTTTTCGAATCATAGATGAATCTACACGTGAAAGTTCATCATGAGTTGTTTGATTAAGCATTTTTTCAACTAAATCTAATTTATTATTGATATCCGTATAGTTATTTGACTCTTTAATAAATGATGGTAAAGCATTAGCTACAACGCTTGATACATTTTCTGATTGAGGAATAACAAAACCTCCAATAGAAAATAGATTTCGAGCAATATTTAATGTTGTTCGTAAATAAGATCCATAATTAGCAATAAATTCACTTGGTTTTTTAATTGAATAACCATCATGAGGAGCAATATGTAGTTTATCAGGCTCATCGGAACATTCACATAAGAAATATAATTTATAATGAAGAAGAAATAAATTCTGTATAGTATTAATTGAAGTCCAATTATGATGTTTTACTGGTAAAATAAAAAAATAACGAGGTGTTGTATATTCATGTAATTCATACATTTGTGTCATTACATGTTTTATTCGAATAAGAGTTTCTTGTGTATTAGCAAGAATAATATCAGTTTTTTTGTTCATTTCTTGTATTTTTGTATCAATACGATCAAAGTATATATTCAGCTGATTGTTCGATTTTTCTATAGGTTCTATAGCTTCAATAATTTGATCATTGATTGCTTCAATACGTAATGGAATAAGTTGATGACCATTATTATCACGAAGAAAAGCTAATTGAATATTATCAATACATAGTACAGTTGCTGAAGGAAAACGTCGTTGTACATCTTCCAAACACAAACATTCAATATCATTTAAAACAACTGTTTGAATTTGTACAATAGTATCATGAAAACGAACTAACTGACTTCTTGTTTTAGGAGTAATTTGTTCCATAATAATTTATTGTAACAACTATATAGACAAAAAACAAATAAAATAGAATGACTTATTTATCTTATGATACTTACTAGGGAAAAAAATGCTTCAATGACGCATACTACGGTTTTTGACAACATACAAAAAAGTAACGTGATGAATCTTGTCTTTTCTGTTTCGTCTTTGTTTTTCTGTTATCAGCAATAAAACAACTATTATGATAACGAACACGCCTTTGTTATACAATTACATTTGAATAATACAAGGAAAATAACTTTTTACAGATAACTTGAATAAATGAGGATTTTTTAAAGTCTTCTCATGATATTCATCTTTCTAGATACACTTCTGCCGCTTAAAGCTTCAAAAGATTTACTTCATGCCATTATGTACTTGTTCTGACATTGTAGCAGAGTATTACATTGGATATATTTTGAAGCATTCGGCACAAGGAAGATATCAACTACAATTTACTTGTGATTCATGCATGCTACGCTAATCTAATAGAATGGCAGAGTCAGCGCGAATGAAAATACGACGAACAGCAGCATCCATGTCCTCGGTATGTTTTTTCATTGAAAACACGAAACTACCATTGCTGTCCGAATTTCAAATGCAATGCTTGATGTATTGTTGTCCTCTTCAACATTATTCGTGAGGCTGACTAAACCATATACATGTAGTTCACCAATTGCAGCACAACCAATCATTATCGAATTCGTATTTCAATGCAATGAGAATGTTCAGTTGATGTAAGGTATTCTTATCTGGATTAGTAGTACCAATAGTATCTTCATGCATGAGATCTATCCTACATCAAAGTTTAAAGCAAGAGACGATTTTAAATGTATCCTATATTAGAGATTGTCGTTATACATTCTTCTAGATTCGCAAAGACCATAAAATCGATTTGTTCGAAAAATGTGTGTAGCTCTCGAGCTGCGAAACATACAATAGTCATTAGAAAGAATGAAAATTTTCATAAAATCTTCTTAATGTATGAGTAAAATGTGCAGCTGATTATGTCTTAGTAACAGTTTCCACTAGCGAATTACAAGAACCTCAATCAATCTAGAAAATGTCTATATAAGATGAACTAATGATAAGAAATAAAGATATATGTAGTGAAGAAGAGAGAGTACATGACTTATTTCATATTTTATAATGTCGAGAACGAAAAAGCAAATGTGTAAATCTTTTTTTTTATGATAAAATTATGTATCTATCAAGACATCTGTCCTATATAAATAACATTTTAACATTGAATCAGCTATTGTCAACAATGAGAGCGAACATAAAAATGTCTTTCTTTCTTTTTATTCGAGGTTGAAGAACTCTGTGCTAAACAACTTTTCTTATATTTTTTTTTGGTCATTTACTGATAGGCATAAAAGTCTTTCATAGAGAAAACTTCAATGACCTTGGAATTTTTTTTCTTTTCTAAAAACAAACTCAAGAAGTAACTCAGCTTGTGTAACAGAAAAAAATTTTATAATCAACCTTTATGTTAGTAACGAATACGGACAATAAACATTAGGAACAAAGTAAACAAATTTTGAATGTATACATAAATTTATCTCGAATCTCTCTTATTCCAATATTGGCTTTTAATACAAAAAAAATATGAATAGACATTACTACTTTTATTTAAACATCTTTTTTTCATGACGATCGAAGCATATGCAACAAGTACAAGTGAGTAAATATTTAAATCAATTTTATTCAAGTCTTAGAAATCGATATATGAAACTGACGTACGAGCACATTATTTTATACGATCAACAACAAACATTTGAAATCTTTCATAATCAAGAAAAAAAGCAATTCAACTATGTGTTAAAATAAAATGTATTTAAGAATCTGTTTATATGAGTTTTATTTCGTGTGATTGTCTTTAATTTCATAACAAATAAACAATATGAAATTTAATATAATTAATTAATTTAACTTATTTAAATGTATGTGTTTTAGATGAATTAGCTATCATGACCAGCGTCAATAAAATTTAAATGAAAGACCATCATTATCCAGCGATACTTCTTATGGTAGACCTTTATTCGTCACTCTTCATCAATATTATTTATCAATCTCTCTTGTATTTATAGACGTTATTTCTTAGAAGAAGTAAACTTGAACAACACCAATGGCATTCAGACATTCGTTTTTTTTTGCACATTATTATAAAATGAGTCGACTAAATGTTCTTTTGTCTAATAGTTTTTTTCTTCTTAATTAATTTTAAAATATGAAATAGAATGAATTCTGAAATTATTTATAATGATTCTTTCGAATATTTTCAGTCTCGAACCCTACTCCTTCATTCCGTGATTTTTTTTTTCAATCTGGTTCTTCAAGTCACTTCGAAAATAGGATATAATTTTTATCGATTAGTTGTATTCTACTACGAACATACTCAACAAAATGAACTCAAACTAGTAACGTAACTAGGTATGAGCTAGGCCGGGCACTACTCCATCATTAACATTGTATTTCATGGATCTCTTTCAAGATTATAGGTTACTCTCCTACCATCGATGATGGTCTCACGAAACCAAACTGGTTTTAAGAAAATGAAGACAAACAGAACTCGAATTAGTAAAATTTGCTTCGATTCGGCATCTGTTTCTACAACAATTGTGATGACGAGAATTTATTTATAGATTTTGTTTCAAGAATGGCCAAGTACTTGAATTATTTAATTTTTGACATTGAGCTTTTTTTTTCGCTTTAGATGGTTCAATATATAATAGCTTTATAACTTTGATTATCAAAGAAATAGTTTATTAATTCATTTATTTAGACTTTTAAAATAAATGAAATTCGTAAATTGCTTGAATGAATAAAAATCAAAAAATACTTTCAAATATATATTAATTTTTTTAAGAAATACATCGGAATTATAACAAAATTATTCTTTATTTTGTATGATTAATAAAAAGAAAAACTAGAAAGATATTTTATTAGAACGAAGCGATTGATTTAATATCCGATGGATGAATATTTGCACCACGTAAAAGTTTAACAAATGACGAATTTGGATTAGCAGCTAAACGTATTGGCTCATCATATTCTTGTAAAGAACCGTTCGATAAAACAAGAATTCTAAATAAATAAAAAGTTTTTATTTATATCAAAAAAAAAGAAATACTACAGACTTAGTACTATCTAAAATTGTATGCAAACGATGAGCAATTGTTAATACAGTTGCATGTTTAAATCTTAAACGAATAGTTTGTTGAATGAGTCGATCTGTTTCCATATCAGTCGCTATTAAAAAGAGTCATAAATTAATAATTAAGAAAAAAGATCTTGAAATACACACCAGCAGTTGCTTCATCAAATATAAATATTTTACTTTTTCTTAAGAGAGCACGTGCCAAACATAATAATTGTCTTTCACCAGCACTACAAACACAAATACCATCAAATATACATATATATATAAACAAATAAAAGAATTTAATTCACCTCATATTCTGACCTCCTTCTGCTAAAAGATGTAATAAACCATTTTCCATCATATGAATACGATCTTTTAAATGTACTAATTCTAATACAGTCCATATTTCTATATCACTATAATTACTAAATGGATCAATATTGAATCGTACAGTACCAGCAAATATGATTGCATCCTAAAACACATGAAAAATATTTATATAATCGATCGACAATTAGATACAATGAATTACTTGTGGAATAATAGTTATCTTTGATCGTAAATCATGTAAACCAATAAGGCAAATATCAACATCATCAATAATAATTGTACCATTGGTTGGTTCAATCATACGAAAAAGCGATAAACATAAACTACTCTTTCCACTGCCCGTACGACCAATAATTCCAATCTAAATTTAGTTTAAATGCATTTGATTTTGAGTATATATATATATATGTCACCGTGCAATCTAAAGATTCATCTACTGAGTTTATTCTCAACAAAATACAATAGTGTTTATATAGAGAGTGGTTTGCTTTCGACATATATTCCAAAATTATTCTTAAGGCCTCCTTCTTCAAAATTCGATCTCAGGCTAGGAACGTTCGAATGGCATGAAATTTTCAAGATATATTGGGGCTGAACTATGACTATGGTAAAATTTTCAGCCCTGTAACATGACGTTTGACGGAGATATCGGCTAAACAGGGGTAAAAAAATAGCTAATTTCGTCTCCGAAATTTCTCTGTTCTCTTCAGTCTATACATTTAATATTTTCTTTTTGTTAGAAAGAGCATATCAGAATGCAGTGCCTATGAGAGTCCTTTTTTAAAACTCTTACTTTTTAAGGGATCGAAAGTTCAATGACTCAAAGAACCTCTCCAAAAATGGCGCTCTAATTATATAAAGGTTTGTATATATAATAAAGGCAAAGTCTAATTAAAAAAAACTGGCTCTCATAGGCACTGCAGTTTTACACGCTCTTTCAAATAACAAAAACTATTGGCTACAATGAAGCTGCTTCGAGAAATCTTGGAGATGCGATCGAAAAATATTTTCGGTTTTTTTCAAAAACAGCTTGTTTTTCGAATAGGGGACGAAGGAAACCTTAGATCATTTTTGGAAAAAAAGGACGTATCGAGTAAAACTTTTTGTCGTTTATAAGAAATCTTATGATGGGCCATCTTTTCCTGCGTTTATCTTAATTTCGTTGATTTTGACGAAAAGTGACTTTTTTGAGGGGGATGCGCAAAAAGTTATATAAAGCATTTTAAAATGTGTTCGAGTTCCTTGAAGAATAGGAACATGAACATTCCTAGTGAAGGATGTGGATCTGGATCAGAGATGAAACTGGTCTGAAAAGATGGGGCCGCACCGGCTGGTCTACTGGTGACGAATAATATATCGATAATTCACAGTACCAGAGAAAGAGTAGTTTAGATATGCAAAATTCGTTTTATCGCATGACAAACTTGATGTGCCAAAGTATATCACATACCTCATATAGAGATAGAACCAGTCTGAATTTTTGACGACTGATACTAGTACTAGTCTGAAAAGGTCACGCAGACTAATCTATCAGTTACCAATCAGTCTCAAACTCACACCGGCACCGGTTCCATCTCTGGTCTGGATGTACTTGAATGTAATTTACTTTGTCTCTAATTCAAAATTAGATGCTAACGGGTATTTTACCTTTTCGCCAGATTGAATATTGATCGAGAAATCTTTGACTACTACTTGCAAATTTTCTCTATATCGTAATGATAAGTTCCTAATTCTAGAAAATAGAAATTTCTACAAAAAACGAAAAAATTATATTCTAGAATTAATTTACTGTATATTTCCATTAGTTGGCCAACGAGGTGATGGTTTTGTTAGTGGAATCTCCCATGGAGCTTCAGGTGTTAATTGACCATATTCATTAATACGTTCAACACTAACAATATTTGTTTCAATATCACTTGATGTACGAACAAGCATATTGAAAGAATGTGTAATTTGTAAAGCATAAGTTATCATTAAACCAACAGTACCAGCTGTTAAATAATTACGCATAAATACAGCTGTTATAGCTATTAATAATGTAAGTAAATTAGCAATCATTTCTAAATGAAAGCCAAGCCATCTAATAAAAATAATAATGATCAAAGAAAATAAATATTTAATTTATGTTTATTAAATCAAACCTATTTGAAACAGAACTAGCTAAATTACATGATTGATTTCTATCCATATATTTATCAGATAAATCAATAAAACGTTGTTGTGCATGATAAGCACGTATCGAACTAAGACCTTGAATTGTTTCACTAAAATTTGCAAATATTAAACTACGTGTAACTGAATCAAGACGACGCAATTGTCGAGAAGACGATATATAAATACGCTTATAGATATATAAAATATTATGTACTACAATATTTAACGAAAAATAAATTCTACCTGAATATATATAAAAAGAAAAGCAAGTGGTATAAATTCAATTATAGCAAACCATGATCCATAGGTGAGTATAATTAATGTAGCAATAACTGTAATAAGTGTTGTTAATGCTTGAGAAAAAGCATTTGGTAATGCAGAATCAACTGAATCAATATCTTTCGAAAATCGATTAATAATACGACCAATTGGTGTTGTATCAAAGAAAGACATTGGTGCATGAAGAATTCCTATAAGAATAATCCCATGTAATTGTCGACCGGCGATATATCCAGCTAGTTTTTGACTTAATTGCATAGCGAATGCAAGGAAACCTGACAAATGAAAATGAATAGAACAAAAAAAATCAATCATTGAAATGCATTTGAATACCTTGAATAATTCCCAATATTGAATAAATATTCATATAATAAATTTGACTAGTCCTTGATGATTTAGTATTTGTTATATTTATTACTTTTACTTCATCTGTCCATTTTGATAACCAAATATTAGTGCTTAGAGTAGCAAATATTGTTAAAGAAAAAAATAAACTAATTAATGTAATCATTATTAATTTACATGAACGTATATAAATTAAAAATATATTTAATTTTACCTAGTATAATAGTTTAGAAAAAGAGAATTAGCTTAAATACTCAACAAAAAAACCGGTACTTACCGAACCTGTCTGTATAGCTTCGTTTTGAATGATCTTTTTCTTTTCTTCTTCTATTTCAATTATAATTGGTTGTAATTCATCTTGTTGAATATTAGTATCAGTAAATTCAAATGAATTATGAATTAATTCTGATGGAGTCGTAGGAATACTTTTTGGACTTTCTAAAATAATAAATGAATCCTTTTTATTGAAACTTTAAAATAGTTAAAACCGTATAGTTAAAAACAATCTAAGTACGATCTATAAGGAGTTCTGCGATCTTGCGGTTTGAGGTACCGCCTAGCGGCAGATTTCAATAGCTTAATATTTTTTCTACAAGTATGACTGGATGTAGTTCTAGACAGAAGATTGACCTAATGCAGAATTTTTGTACTCAATTACTTGAGTTTTCCAAATACAGTAAGTAACTACAAGAGCAGGCATATATATATAACGTAATCGAGTAGCAGGAAGTTCGCCAATTGGTGAAAGTCAGGTGAAAAGTCGCCCATAATGGCGAAATTCTACATCATTCTCGGTTAGTTGAGCAGAGAATGCTCATATATGATATTGTAAGTTGTCAATGCTGTTTCTATTTCTACGATCTTACTAATTTAGCGAGCACACAGTAGCCTTCAATTCATAGTTGAATAAACTAGCGCTCGTCGTTAGTATATGTTTTACTCAGATATTTTGTAGATTACTCAATGGATGTCACAGCGCGTCCTTCAATGCATCTACTTCAAGTAGATAGACTGTCAACATATCTAACAAATCAAACAATGACTGATCAACCATGTACACAATTCGAGTCATTATTCGCTTATTCTTTGGTAGTCTTACTGCTGGAGGAAAAAAAGAAAGCTTCCATTTAGACATATCACTTTTATTATGAAGATTATTGTCAGATTGTACTTAGGTCATTATCTTTAGTCTGCTCCTAGTTTAGTTCCTTTCGCTATTTTGTTTTTGCAACGTGTTTTACTAACTCCGCATGACTTTCACCAGGTATTGGCGAAATTCTGAATTCCCACGGAATCCGTATATCGTCGAGCGGGCAATCGAAGACAAATAGTCGTTAATGACTTGTCCGAAGTCATTCCATAGCTGGCGATCAGTGGCATAGTCAGGGGTAGGGCCATTGGGCAATTGTTCATAGCTCCAAAAGTTATTGCCCATGGATTTATTGATTTATGTAGTGCTTGAACAGTTATTGCCCATAGATATTTTTGAAATCATAACGGTTGCCCTTAGCTGCCCGTAACTCAACATAGTTCGGCTGATGAATTGTCCATGACTCAAAAATTCCTGGCTACACCACTGCTGGCGATACTGATGCTTTCACACAATACCTTGCGGATACGTGCTGAACAACATAGCTTAATGCGATTTTCCTTGCTGCTGATCGTGACAGACGATATTGATATGCAATCAAAGACAATATATCAATAACGTTTTGTTATAATATATGAACTACTTTCTTCTTACATTTCCGGAAGATTATCATCGCGTTTCATATTAAAACGCCACAGATATTACCTTAACAGCTTTTTGAACAAATAGTATTCTATAGTCTTTTATAAAATATTTTTATTTACCAATATCACTTGTTTGATGTTGATAGTGTTCTGTACGAGACGTAGCAACAGAATGAACAAAATCTTGTAAAATTGTGCTTCTAATCATCAAATCATGATATGATCCATGATCAACTATTTCACCTTGTGAAACAACCATAATATCATCACATTTATTTAAATGAGATACACCATGTGTAACCAAAAGACGAGTCTATTAATTATATTTGATTTTTGAATAATAATCATAGATTCTTACTTTATTTTTTAATAATCCTTTAGGTCCAATGACATGTTTAAAAATATAAGTACCAACATGTGCATCAACAGCTGAAAGTGGATCATCAAGAAGATATATATCAGCATTACTATATAATGCTCGAGCTAATGAAACACGTTGTCGTTGTCCACCAGATAAATTAATACCCTATAATAATAAAAATAAAAACGAATCAATTTAAAAATTCGAATAACAAAATTTCTTTCTATGAAGTTAATATACTTTTTCACCAATTTCAGTTTCATCACTTGCTGGAAGCATTTCTAAGAACATAAATTTAAAATTATTCTAATATAATTTACATTGAAAATTATCATTGATTCTTTTTTATACCAAGATCTTGTTTTAAAGCACATGCTTCAATTATACGATTGTATAAATTCTTATTAAAATCTCTTCCAAAAAGAATATTTTCTTTTAATGTTGTATTCATAATCCATGCTGTTTGTGGTACATAAGCAATAGTTCCATTGACACACACACGTCCATGAATTTTATTCATTTCACCAAGTAATGCTGCTAAAATACTACTTTTACCTGAACCAACCATACCAACAAAAGCAATAAGTGAACATTGTTCAATTTGAATATTGATACTTAAAATGAAAATTATCATATATATATATATATAAATATTTTGTTGAATACTAACTTTTTTAAAACTAATGAATCATCATTAAGATTTGACCAACGAAAAGAACCATTTTCAATTTTTATTGCATATTTATCTGAAAACTTTGGAATAAATCATTTTAATTCTACAACTTACTATTACTTACTTGACTCAAAAGGTATTCTTTCAACTGCATTTTCATCAATTTCTTCAGTATGCAAAAACTTTTCAATACGTTTATTTGATACACGTGCCTATAGGAAAAAAAAACTAATAAACTTTAAAATCAAAACGAACCTTTTTTATTTACTTCAACAACATTATTAAAAACAGTAGGAAAAGAAACAAGTGGACTACGAAGTAGATTAAACAATGCTAATGATACAAAGGCTTTATCAGCTGTTAAAACATTCGTATCTGATAAAAGAACATAAGTTGAAAATGTCATTATACCAACCTTAACAAATATATAAATCTAATCATACAAACAAAAACAAAATTCTAAATCTTTATTATATTCTTACTAGAATTGGTGTAAATGTCCAAAGAACATTTGATATAGTACTAACAATAGCTTTTTTTCTTATATATTCAAGTTCTTTTTCTCGAATATGAGTAATTGTACGTATAAATGCTATTTCCCATGCATATAATTTTAATACTCGAATACCATTAAGTATTTCATTTGTCATTTTAATACGTTGATCTTTAATTGTCATTTGTTTTAACTAATTTAATAAAAATTCAAAAAAAACAAATTAAATTTATTTCATATTATTTATATATACTGTAAGTTGTTTTTGAATTCTTTGTAAATATAAATTCAATGGAATCATAATAAATAATAATGTAACACCAGGTATTATAGCAAATTTCATTTGTTGATAGAGTAATATTAATGCAATTAAAAGTTGAAGTGGACCTATCGAAATAATTAAAATAAATTAATATCTAAAATAGAAAATAACCGACATATACCTGACCATAATATATGAATATGTTGAGTTACTTCACTAAATCTTGAAGCATCAATAGCGATCTATTCAAAACAAAAAAGAAAAAGCATAAAAAAAAGAGAAAAATTTCAACAAACCAGATTAACAATTTCACCAGTTGTTGTTTCCTGTTTAGATGAATTTGATAATTTCAAACTCTAAACATAAAAAAACACACATGAAAGGCGTTTCAATATAACTCACATGTGTTCTTTAATCTTATTATACTAATGCAAAATTCACCTCTAGCAGACACTATTTGTATTTTCTAAGGAAAACGATCTATCGTATTGGTTTTTACTGATACTCTATTTTTTATTTGCCTTGTTATTATTCTAGCTATTGATTTAATTATGCTGTACAGATCCATTGAATCTATAACAGGTCTTAGTAAGCTCATAAACACTAATATTGATTATTTTCCTAAGTTATAAAATGATCAGTTCACATTTTTATTTGAGGAAAAATAAGAAAAGAACTGCACTGTTTAGAATATTGAACAACATATTCCAGCCTACTGAATTTCGGCGTAGGCTTTTGGGAATGTTCTGAATGACTGAAATAGGACAACATATACTCTAATATATGGATTATTTTATCATATAAAAGTCTTTGTTCCTCTTGTTAGCATTAGTTAAATAATGTCGTTAGTAAGGATTAAAAGTTTGTTTTACTATGAATTAAGAAAATACTCCTGAGAAAATTATATTTGATCTGAAGCTTGCAGCTTACTAAGCTTTGGCACAAATATGTATTGAGTACAATGTGTTGACACAATTTTCCAGAACATCGAATTAGACGAAATTTCCATACAGTGCATTTCCGCATATAACATATATTTAGCAGTAGCACGAATCAAAGCGAGAATTCCAAGGTTCAGCTAAAGATCTTCTTTACAAAACTCATTTTTCTCGATCAAGAAACATTTTTATTGACGATTAACTTCATTATTGGAACTATCTAGATGTGTAAGCTGAAGGATCAGACAGCGGCGACGGTTTTAATAGTCAAATTTTTTCCATAGTGGCGGCTGCTATACTTTATGTTTTTCTGCACCGGGTGGTGGCTTTAACAACCAAAAGAAGAAAAAGCGTTTCTGCTCCTACAAGACGAAAAAATGACCGATCGCATATGTATCGATGTCAACGGCGGCGACGGCTAGAAACTTCTTAAAATTATATATGATTACGTGGCGGCGGTGGCGTGTACAGCTTACACTTCTAGAACTAGCATCAAATGATTTTCCATGTATACATTGAGTAAGGATCTCTCACCATGATTTTCCAATAAAACAAAGGTTCTTTTTTTGGATTCTACATTTATGAAAAATACCTTCTCCCGTTGCTGTCGATAATTAGCTGAAATAGAACATTAAATAACTAACCTTTCGATACACAAGTCCAGTAACTGCTGAACGAAATCGAAGTCCAATAAGAAATTGTTGATGAAAATAAGCTCGTAAAAGTATTATGTGACAAAAAACTGTTATACTTAAAAGGATTGCATAGAAAATACCTAACCATTTTGGTTTTGTTGAATCCGTAAAAAAATTAAGAAGTAATCTTAAATGAAAATTAATCTTTTAAATTAAATAAATAAACATTAAAAAAAAACGCCAATGATATTTACTTTAATATCATAGGACCACTAAATTGTATAATATCATGAAGAAATTTGAGGAAACCACCAATAAAAAGTTTATCTTTATATGTGCAAAATAAAGCATACCAAAAAATAGATGTTTCCTTAGATTTCGATGACGATTTTTTCACATCAACCATTGGCTTTAAATAGATTTTATCGTAAAATTACAAATAATAAAAATATAATCACTTACAACATTATCAAGCTAGAGGAAATTAAAAATTAATTATTAAAATCAAATAAAAAAAAACAACATTTACCAAATTTTGATGTTCATCTTCTGCTTGATTTGAATAAGAAAGTTTAATATTATTTATTGAATTTTTTTCACATGATGTCCAACTATTTATTCTGGATAAAACTTAGAACAAAAATAAAATAAAAGATTATTTACCCTTTCATATAATTTCGTACTTGATGAACAACAGCAGCAGTTCGTTCAGATATTGGTAAATCCCAACAATCTTTTTCTGTAAGTGGTTTTTTATAACCTCGAAGAATTAATGGTGTTGCCCATGAATAAGATATTCGCGATAGAAAACTTTCATGAAATTCAGGAACAATAGGCTAAACATATAGCTTTTAGTTTTTTATTGTCAAAACATTATTCGATAAATATTTAATCCTACTCGTTCATCAAGTGTTGTTTGATGAGCAATAATATATTTTTCAGCAAAACAATTTGTTATAAATAAACCAAATGCAAACAAAAATTGAAACCAAACAATAATAAATTCTATCCATAATGATATTGATTTGATCTATACAAATAATTATGGGTAATATGAACGTATTCATAGAAAAAAAACTGTTTTTTTTTTCTACTTGTTGATAAAATTTAACAGAATAATCAATTATATCAGGTAGAATTGCTAAACAGACTAATAACCAAAAAATAAAAAGTAAACCCGAAGAAAAAACACTCTTCAATCGATCATAATTCATTAACCAAAGAATAAAACTTATTGTTATTATATATAAAATCGACGTCAATACATAAGCTAGACCCTTTTCATCTGTCCATAGAACAACATAATGAACAAGACGAAAAATTTGTATCAAAATAAATAGACAAGCAAGTATCTATAATAATCATAATGATTTATATACAATTAACATAAACAATCACCATTTAGATCATCGATAAAAAAAATTATTCGAATTTTATACTTAAATTTAATATTCAAAGATATTTTTATCAATGATCTAAATAGTTCGATGTATTTACCATTTTAATAATCAATAGTAGAGAAACTACAAGTGCTTGTGATTTTAATTGTCGTTTATTTAATATATAAAGCCATAATGGTAAAATTAACCAAAAAATACTTATAGGTACCCATTGTAAAATTGTACTTCGAAAACATTCAGTTAAATATGGATATGGTAAATTAGTCACATTTTTATCCTAAATAATTTCTTTTAGAAAAAAAGAAATAGCTCATAGAAAACATACACACCCAAAATGGAGTTGTACACAAACGTATCATATCTAAAATATATAAATATCAGTATCACTTATGACACAAACTAGTACAATATCAAATTGATATTAATCGTTACTTAAACACCGATAGTTTAGCTATGTTGATTAATGAATAAGAAAAACATAAAATTTTTCGTTTTTGTACTATTGACCATTCTAGAATTAAATTCAAATCATACTTAAACATTCTTTCGAGCAGAATATCATGATTTCAAATACACAAAAATAATATGCATATTTTATTTTTTTATGTGCTTATTGAATAGCTACAACCAGAAAGAAAGAGAGAAAGAGTGAAAATAGTCACATATTTTACAGTGAAGGTTAATAGATGCTTATCTACAATACACACTTGCACATGTGCCTAAGTAATCAAGACTAAAATAAGGTATACTCTATACTTTACGAACACATAAAACACATGGAGCATACTCATATCGATGAATACATTGCACTGATGTAAACATGTTTACATGACATAATACCTTTTGACTATTCTCCGCTTGTTTCTTTTTCAATTCAAATTACATTTGATATCTAAGGACAAAGGTCCATAGTTGGAAGAAACGAAAAGACACTTGGAAATGGATGTGTCGGCTATCTCAAGAAAAATGGGATATACTTGCTTTCATTCGACTTTGATTGTTTATGAATTGTTAGTAAGAGCAAACTCCGAAAACTTCCTTTAGAGACTCTGTCCAGTCTTGAAACCAACATTTTTGTTATACCATGATTTAGAGATTCCAATGAAGGATTTGTACCGTTTGAAACTAGTTTTGAACTTCTCATTCAATTATACAAGCTTTTTTGTTTTGTTTGTATATTGGAAAGAAAGTTTGTAGACTCAGGTATTGTCGACAGACAGTATTATTTAGTTTTGAAGTAATAAGACGAATATACAGAGTTGTGCATAACCTTTTGCTAGGGGGGTAGCGCCATTATATCAAGTTGAATACCTAATGAAATTTATACTAAATTAAAGAGCGTCGAAAACTGGATTTCTTAGTACTAAATAGTAAGGGTTATCAAAATATGTTAATGTCGAACTTACGAAATTTTCGGAAATTTTATGCTTTTTTTAGCATAAAAAATTAAGGCACCGGCAATTTTTTATAGGTAAGAAAAATACTCGATTTTTTCAATAAAATTAGATTTTTTCATTATTTTTACTAGCAAAGACGCTTCGAGATATACTCGTCAGACGCAGTTTTTCACGCTGCACCGGAGGAGTATATTTCGAAGTGTCTTTATCAATAAAAATAATGAAAAAAGCTAATTTCATTGAAAAAATCAAGTGTTTTTCTTCCATATAAAAAAACGAGTTTCTAGAGATTTTTTAGGATTTTACAAGTAATTTTTTAAATTTTTTATCTGAAAAGATGGCTTAAAAAATTTCTGATACATACAGTTTTGTAGAGCTCGACGAGCTCTATCGAACCATATAAAAATATCAAAAGAAAATATCTTACTCTATATTTGAATTGGTGGTGCCTTCATTTTCTATGGTAAAAAAAGCATAAAATTTCCGAAAATTTCGTAAGTTCCACATTAACATATTTTGAAAACTCTTACTATTTAGTACTAATAAATCCATTTTTCAACGCTCTTTAATTTGGTATAAAATTCATTAGGTATTCAACTTGAAATAATGGCGCTACCCCCCTAGCAAAAGGTTATGCACAACCCTATATAAATAAAAATGTGGATAATGCTTTTCATATATTGCATTTAGGTTTTAATGATTAATTAGACCGAATTATGCATACATTTTGTTTAATGATGTTGATGTTCTTTTCATCAAAGAGAAAAAAAACGATTTCGCATCTTTGAAATAAGAATGAAAGTACAAACAAAGCGGAAAAGTGAAAATTCCATGCTTTAACGTACTAAAATCACTCTTTTCTCCTGTTAACATAAGTTCTTACTTTACAGTTATTTAGGAACACAGAAATTTT